AACAAACACTTTTTTTTTCCTCTTTTTAGTTCAATGTTTCAATAAATCTGCTTTATAATAAAGCAATTATTAGAAACCAATATTAATAACAAAAATTACTCTTTTTATGACTAAAATGTTTTTATAATAAATAATTAAAAGAAGAAACTAACTTTAAAGAAAATTTTAATTTGAACAATAATTAATATATATTTTTTAATTTAATACATTTAGCCGCATCCATTGATTTAATTATTAAAAATTTAATATTTTTAAATTTAAATTTAAAGTAAAAAAAATTTTTAAAAATAAATTTTAATAACTAAATTAATAAGTGTTATTAACTGTATTAAATTAAATTGGAGGAGATATCAATCATTTTTTATTTAATTTATATTGAATAAAACCAATTTTATTGTCCCTTTCTTTTTTTCTTTTTTTTGGGGTAAAATATCGTCCCTTTCACTGTCACTTGGCTGCTATAACTAGACACTGATCCAGACATTTACAATTTTTAAAAAGCACTTTAAACTGTTTTAGGATTGCAGTATAACTTTTAAAGTCGAAATTTATAATTTAGTACATTTTATAAAAGTGCAAGTTATTCTTTTACTTTAATAACTCATGAAGAATACTATACTTAGCTTAGACTCCTTGAAAAAGTTTCTTTTGCACCACGGACATGAGACATGCCGGTTTGGTTGCACCGCTATTTTACCAAAAAAAAAGTTTTTATTGAGAAAATATTGTATACAAGATTAAAAATATTATACGAAAATTATTAAGTTTTGTAATAAAATTTTATTAGTTAAAGAGAAATCTTTTTATTTTAAAATAAATGAAAAGAAAAATTTATAAATTAAGAATTATGTTAGAAAAACTAAAAATTAAAAATATCATTTTTATTTTTTTTGTTGTAATATTAATATGTACAAATATATAAATAACTTTCTTTTTTATTAGGGCAAGTGATTCGGAGGAGAAGGTGAGGAGAGGGATGAAATGCTTGTTACGGTGAAAAAAGCTTACATTAAACTACTGGATCACTAAACCGGTAAATCTTCTTCAATATATAAATAACCTTGTAAAAAGAAAATTTTAAAGAATTTTAGAGAGAAAAGTTCTCCCACCCAAACACCTCCTAATTATTCATTTGATATGGTTGTGGTTAATAATTTTTTGTTTCAATTTTTATAAAAATTCCAACTCTTAAAAAAAGACTAACTTAGTTTTAGTGATTTTTAGAACCATTATTAAGATTATTAGAAGATATAAGGATTTAAATACTTTTAATATTAAACAAGTCCATATTTTTAGTGGTCAATAATAAAACTTATTTTTTATAAATTTTTTGTCTTTAATTATTAGTTTTTAATTTTTAGTAGTTGCAAAATTTATGATATTCATAATTAAAAATCAAAATCTACAAACATACTAAATGGAGTACAATA